CGCGGGTTACCAGCCGAGCCGTGAGCTTGGGGTGCGGTGTGCGAAAATGGCGGGCTGATTGTCGATGCGAGGGTCGCGAGTGGTAACGGTGCTGACTGTGGTGCTATAGTGATGTACGCGTTGAGCAGGGATGCGAAGCAAGGAAAAATGATTTTCCTTACAGGTGTGCATAATCTACGCATGCAATGGATGGCTTTCTCGCAACCCCAGATTTGCTTGGCAATGCGTTTGTGAATGACCCGTTTCCAGACGAGCACTTCGGCATGGAACTGAGGTGAGGTGGAGTGTAGAGACCAGTAAACCTGTAACAGCAGATACTGTAACAGGCGTTTGCGGCAGCCGTTCGCAGACGCTCGATCAGAGGGATGCTGCGACGCGAAACTATTTTGGAAAAGACGCGCCCGAAACAAGACTTATTGTAATGGGATTCACACACTGTACTGTACTAGTGTCGCCAAAAGCTGCCACTTGCTGTCGGCACCATCGGTTCAGGCACTGTTTTTGCATTAATGAACTTCAGAAAGGGGAATACTATTCAAATCTTGCATCACTGGGGCTTACGGGTGAGAGACACTCTAGGAACTGGAAGGTAGAAATCTTGTTGATGTGTACTTGAATGTTCTGCATCAACGTGTGGGTGCACAGCAGGTTGCGATGGTCTGGTTACGAAGCAGGTGTTGGTTCATGGAAGGAATTGTTTTTGTGGGCTACCCTGAATCACAGCCCTTGAAACTCCAGACCAAGCACTGATGTTCAGGGAATTTCTAGCCCTTTTCCGTCTGTTCTGATAATGTAGGGCCAGTTTGTCTGACGCGACGCGGTTTGTGCGATTGAAAATTGCAATGTGTTGATTGGTCTTGGCGGGTAGGAGGGCGGCGGCATCAGCTCCGTTCTGTCGTTACCAATCCAATAAACGAACAACCAGAACAAACAACTCCTCCCCCCCTCCCACCCCACCTGTTGAAAAAAATGAACTCCATCTCCACAAGATGCCCGTTTGACTAACCCAAGGTTGCCTTGTAAAGAGGGCTCTTATGTGGTTCTTGCACTTCGGTAATTTTTCGTCAATTCGCACTCAGCAAAAAGGGCTTTTTAGTTTTCTTTTTGTAACTCTTTGTTGACCGTTTGACGTTGGTCTCCTCTGTCAAACTTCCGTTTTTGTGGTTCGTATTGCTCGAGGTGCTTGTAAATGGGGTGCAACTGGCTGGCACCCTAATACACGGGTGCAGAGTTTCCATCGCGGGCAGGGCAAATTCGTGCGCAGGGGCTGGGCATCTTGTGTACACCCTCTTTCTCGCCATTGTGAATTCGGTTATAGTGAAGTCAAGATGGGAAAAGCACGGTTAACGGTGGTTAGATTAAGTCTAGGTATGGTTCAATCAGACAAATCGAAGGTAGCTAGGTTTTCCATCAGTTCAGCACAGTTCAGTGTAGTGAGAAAGAGGGTGTACCTTGTTTAATGCGGTAGGAGACAGTTGATTATAATGCGTTGTATTGCGGTGGAAAGCGGTACTTCCATGTCCTTTTGAAGGACTAATTTAACCTGGGTTGTGGTCGTTGCTGTCTTCTTCTCTTCGGTCGCTGCAGCATTGGGACCATGTAGTCGTGGACACTGTAGTCTCATGTAAAATCTGCTCACAGCAGCAAGCAACCTACTCGTCGTTCTTGTGTACACATCCTGGTTTCGTCGTTCTTCTCGTCGCCTCGCCATGTCTGGGTTCAGTCTCCAGCACAAGCCACGGCTGTTCTCTATCTCATGCTACGGTCATGCCATCATCACGATTGACACCATAATGCCACATCTGGCATGGCCGAAAAGATTGTCCCGTCCTAGAATCCTATTATTTCCATCGCACGTTCTCTGGTGGGAGAGGACGAACCAGGGGGTGTCTTGACGGTTTACTCCTAGCTCGAGAATCTTCCATGTTTTTCAATCTATGTACGTAACACAGCAGCTTCTTGGGACGCGCTTGTTCCCAGCGAAACGGGTTTTTTCCTAGCCCTTTGAGAGATTGCTGTTAAATTTTGACAGACAGACGCGGTTTCGACTTACGTGTAATTAAACCTGCAGTCGAGCCACAGCGTCCGCAGTACTTACTACGGGAAGCCTCGCCGCGTTGCGAGACCGAAGGACGGATCGCCGCCGCACGTAGGACTCCTACGGAAGCCCCGCCGCAGGCGTAGCAAAAGAATTTGCAAGTGCAGAAGCCGCTGTGTTTTAAAAAACAGCCGCTACTACCTTACGGAATTAAATCATCAGAGGAAGAATGGGTTTTGCAGCAGATAGTGGCGCAACCGCCGCGGCATTCCCGTGCGTCGAAACTGACAGACAGATGCTGCCGGATTTTGCGGCCGCCGGCGCTGGTTGGCGTGGCTCGTCGTTTAGCAGCAACGCGACATCGCTCGCACCATCCGCAGCAAGTTGCCGACAGTTGCCGGTTCAGCGGGAGATTCAGGAGCAACGTGACGCTGGTTTTGACGGCCGGCAGGTGGTGCTCGTTGCTCAGCCGGCAAACGACGACTCGTCGTCGGATGAGGACGATGACGCGGCAGAACGCGCGATGCGAGCCGTAGGGCGAGACGCGCCGCCGACGTGCTTGCCGCCGCTTGTGTTTCCCGGAAATATTTCGCAGCGCGACGCGGACGGGAGTAACGGTCATCGGCGTTGCCCCTCCTCCCCAATCATGCCGCTAGCCATGGAGTTTAAGGATTGTGATAATAACGGGAATCCGCGCGCAAAGGCGCTGCGCCGACACGTTCAGGGAGCTCGTAGTGAAGCTGAAGCTTCCTTGGCGGCGAATGCGCCTGTGGAAGTCGCACGGGGAGAGCGACGGTCGCCGAGGTGTCGCACAACGTCGCAGTCGATGCACGACATAACCCACGTCCCAGGTATTAGTACTTGTAAGGCCGAGGCGCTGAATCCGCAGCCTTGGGAGTTTCAGCGGCAGCAGCAGCAGCTGCAGCGGCGTGAGAGTAACGCTAGCAGCACTACAAGTAGCAGTAGTAGAAGCAGAGGAGGCGCCAACCGCGGCGACATGTTTGAGTCGACTCTAGAATCGCAGCAGCGTGAGTGTAACACCGTAACAGCTACAACTGGTCTTACAACTATTAGTAGTCGTCGTAGAGGAGGCGCGAACCGTAACAGCATAAACAGAAGCAGCAGCGACGTGATGACTCGTCTCGAGGCGCACAACCAGCTACGGCGGCGCGCGTACCTGTCGACGCGATCCGCGGCTGCCAGCCAATCATTCTCCGCCGCAGCAGCAGCGGCAGCGGCGATAGTTAGGGCGACTGCGACGGCTGCGACCGCGGCAACGTCTGAGACTGCGGCGACGGCTGCGACCGCGGCGTCGCCTGCGACCTCGGCTGGAATAGCGACTGTTGCGACGGCGACAGCGGCAGTATCGCCAAGAGCCCCAGCGGTTCTCCAGCCAGCTCCGCAATTCTGGGGGTCTCCTCCAACGCCGGTTCTAGCAGCAGACGCGGAAGCAGCGGAAGCCGCCGCCGTTTCGTCCGCGGCGCGGCCGGATGCACCCCGCGGCCAGCGCGTGCTGCGCAAGGCGCAGTCGGAGACGCAGAGGGCCCCGCTGTGGCAGCGCAGTCTCTCCCCCTCCCCCTCCCCGCCGCGCCAGGGCCCCGCTCCGCTGCCGCTCCGCGCCACGAGAGCCGCCGCCGCCGCGAGTGCCCGCGCCAGCTGTAACAGCAACCGTAGCAGTTGCTGTAGCTGCGCCTGTAGCAGCATTTGTAGCGGCAGCTGTAGCAGTAACCGTAGCAGCAGCAGCAGCAGCAGCCCTAATTCGACTCGGTTGGTGCGCCGCGATGCGAGCAGGAACCCCCTGGTGCTACGACTGCCTGGGGACGTTGGCAAGAGTAGCTCTATAAACACTATAACTACTACTGGTGCTGCCGCGTCGCGAGCCCCGCGCGCGTTACGCAAGGCGCAGTCGCTGAACCAGACCGCGTGGACGCGCAACTCCCCCTCTTCCTCCCCCTCCCCCTCCCCTCCGCGCCGGTACCTTCCGCCGCTCCGCGCCGAGCGGCCGCCTCGGAACCCTTCGCCTTCCCCCTCCCCTTCCTCCTCCGCCTGCCTCTCCCCTTCCCCGACGCGCTTGCGCCAGCTTCCCCCGCAAAATTGCTCTCCTAGCAGTCAGGCAGACAAAAGGGCAGGCGAACGGGCAGATGAAGAGTTTACTGAGGAAAACCGCGGTTTTATCTTCACGCCATCATACATGTACGCGAAACCCTCTCCCCAACCGATTTCTCTGTCGCCTCGGCCGCCGCCCGTTCCCTCGCCACGTGGCAGTCTACCATTGGGGCAAGCTGTCAATTCGCCACGTGGCAGTCTCCCATTTGGGCAAGCTGTCGAATCGCCACGTGGCAGTCTTCCACTGGGGCAAGCTGTGAAATCGCCACGTAGCAGTCTCACGTTCGGGCAATCTCATAGCTATACACGTGGCAGTCTCACGACGGCTGTCACATCGCCACGTGGCAGTCCCCTAATGGTCGCGAATGCGCTGCTGCCGCCCCTCTCTCCGCGGCCGTCCACGGCGCCGCAAGAGTCGCCCCGGCTGCAGCCCCTCCCCGTCGCTTCGCCACGTGGCAGCCTGCCATTGTGGGAAGCCGGGCCCGTGATTCTCGGACAAAAGCAGCGAATGAGAGGCCAGAGCTTCAGCGTGAGCAGCGAGAGTAGAAGCAGCGGCGAGGAGATTTTATCCGGTGCAGCGGCAGCAGCAGCAGCAGTAGCAGCAGTAGCACGAGAGCAGCAACAACAACAGGCAGCAGCGGCGGCAGTGGCAGGTGCAGGTGTATGGGGAGGGGTGGGAGGGGGAGGAGCAGCGGCAGGGGGAGGGGGAGAATCAGCAGCAGCGGCGGCGGTGGCGGTATCCCGCGGGGGGCGGCACACGCGGAGCGCGTCAGCCGTGGTGCAGAGCCCCACGCACCCGCTCCCGCCGCTCCCCCAATCAGCTGCTGCCACGTGGCGCAGCTGGGGCCGCGCGAGCATGTCGTGGGTGGGCAGGCGCAGCGCGCGGGAAGGGCAGGGGCAGCCCCGGAGGGAGGGCGAACGGGGGGAGGCTGATCTGGGGAAGGTAGAACTGGGGAAGGTAGAACTGAGGGTGGCGGAAGCGGGGCAGAGGGATGAACTTGGGGAGGTAGAACCGGGCAAGTTATGGCCGTGCAGAGAAGCTGACGAGTGCCAGGCGGCGTTGACTTGCGTTGACTCACCAGAAAGCCGGACTCAGTTGTCACCGACCGTTGGGAATACCGCCGCTACAGCTGGGGAGGCTTTTGAGGCGCCTCCAAGGTCCCCTGGGAATGCCGCTGCTACAGCCGGAATGCTGAGATTGGGAGGAACTGGGAAAGTAACAACGGGGGAAGACGGGGAGATGAGAATGCGGGGAGCTAGCGACCTGAGAACGGAAGGAAGGTCTTCAAGGCGACTGGCCCCTCCTCCTCCGCCTCTCCCTCCGCCTCCTTCTCCCTGCCCTCCTCCTCCCCCTCTCCCCCCTCCTCCCCACCTTGGCTTCTCCTCCTTCCGCCGCCGCGCCTCCTGCCCCTCGTTCCTCTTCGCCCCTCCCCTTCTCCGCGACCTCCTTAGAGGCTGCCTCGATAACTCGTTTAAAGACGCGCCGGACGATTATGTAGACGAGTATTTGGAGGACCAGGAGGATGGGCCTAGGTCGGGGGAGGAGGAGAAAGCTAAAGGCGGTGATAAACAAGAGGAGCTGGGAGGTGGTTTAGAGGGGGCTAAGAGGTGTGGGAAGGATGGTGAGACGGTTCGGAATGGGGATTTGAGTTTTGAGGTGCCTCAAAAGTCGAGGCATGGCAAGGCTGCTGCTGAAGAGGTTCAGCATGGGGGTTTGTATGGTGAAACGCCAAGAGGAGCAGCAGCGGCTACAGCGCGTCGCAAGTCTGGTGGGGTGGTTGGGCACGGGGAGTTGAGCTTTGAGGAAACGCCAATGCCCATGCCTCAAAAGCAGACGGTTGTGCATGGGGGGGACTTGTATGGGGAGATGCCAGTGCCAAGAGGTGAGGGTAAGAGGGATGGCAAGGCTGGTAAGGCGGCCGGGCACAGGGATTTGTATTGCCACGGAGATCTGTATGGGGGACCATCGATATCGCAGCTATCATCCCCATCCTCCTCATCCTCCTCCTCAGTATCAGAGGGAGCAGCAGTGAGAACAGAAGGGGAGGCAGCAGGGAAGAATGAGTCGGGTGCCGGTCGGATGACAGACGACAGAGCGATTGGCAGAGGGATAGGGAGAGAGAGTGGCAGAGAGAGTGACAGAGAGAGTGGCAGAGACGTAGGCAGATCAGCCCGCAGGAGTATGAGGGGAATCTCTACAGTCCCAGACAGCCCCAGTAGCAGGAGACGTGGGGGCGCGGTGGGCAGTGGCAGACAGTTGGGGTACGGCGGGGCTGTGGGGTCCTTCAGAGATGTTGCCGTGCCTTCAGGCGATATGTGGGACGCTGTGCCGCCACACATGCCATTTGAGGCAATTGATTCGGTTCCAAGTGATTCGGGGTACAGTCGCCGCCGCCGTGCGTCGGGCCAGTTTGACCCCTCGTCTGCAGGCGATGCCGGTGGTGGCTCAGGTCGCTGGAATGGTTCAGAACGGTTCAGTGGGCGTGGGGAGGAGCGTGGTGAGCCTGAGGGGCGGCAGATGAGGCAGCAGCAGCAAAAACAGCAGCCGCAGCAGCAGCAGCAGCAGCAGAAGCAGCAACAAAAGCAGCAAGAGGATAATGAGCAGCAGAAGCAGAAGAAGCAGCAACAGCAACACGAGCAGCAGAAGAGGCAGGTAGCTAGCCCCCCGCCACTGAAACTAGCAGAGGGGGGAGGTGTGCAGGGGAGCGTGTTGGGGCGTCCGTACGTCTCTCTTCAGAGTCGCTTCGTGGTGGGCAGGCGGGAGATAGGGCGAGGGCAGTTCGGGGTGATCTACAAGTGTGTGCCGCGCGGTGCGCTTGGCGGGGTGGCGTTCGCGTGCAAGACCATCAAGAAGAGGAACATTGAGGTGGGTGGAGGGCACACGTGCATTCAGGTGAATCCTGACCCATTTGCAGCTGCTGCTGCTGCTGCCACCGCTGCCGCTGCCGCAGCTGCTGCTCCCGCTGCTGCTGTCTGCATCTTTGATCCCAGCTGTCTGTCTTCTCCTCTTGCTCCCTCCCACTCCCCTCCCCGTGCCCTCCCCTGTCCCCTCCAGACCCTCCCAGCAGCAGAGGACATTCGGCGGGAAGTAGAAGCACTGGAGAAAGTGAGAGGCCATCCGGCGTGAGAGGACCCCCACGCCGTGCACCTGGTGATGCAGCTGTGCCGCCACGGAGACCTCTTCGACCATGTCAAGACGCGCACGCGCCTTCCAGAGCCCACTGCTGCTACTGTCTGCATCTTAATCTCAGCTGTCTATCTTTCCTGCCCGCTCCCTCCCGCCCCTCCCCCGTCCCTCCCCAGACCCTGCCCGCAGCAGAGGACATTCGGCGAGAAGTAGAAGCACTGGAGAAAGTAAAAGGGCATCCGGGCATTGTAGAGCTGCACTCTGTCTTTGAGGACCCCCAAGCAGTGCACCTGGTGATGCAGCTGTGCCGCCATGGGGACCTCTTCGACCATGTCAAGATGCGCACACGCCTCCCCGAACCCACCGCTGCGTGCATTCTGTCGCAGCTGCTGCACGCGCTGCAGCACTGCCATGACTTGGGCGTGATTCACCGCGATGTGAAGCCGGAGAATGTGCTGATATATGCAAGGGGAGGCGGCGGCGGGGACGGGGAGAAGGTTCTTGTGAAGCTGGGGGACTTTGGAGTTGCAACCCGATTTTCCCCGGGTAAGAAGCGCCGCCATATGTGGTGCTACTATAGCAAGTGGTGCACAAGATTAAGCCCGACTCAGCTGCTTCTTCATTCATTTGTGTCTCTCTCCCTCCTTGGACTTGTCTTTTTGGGTTCCAGGCACACCCTACATTGCCTGTGTTATTCATTGGTTCCCTCTCCCCATATTGGACTTGCCTTTTTTCCGTTCCAGGCATGCCCTGCATGGACCCAGTGGGAACGGCCATGTACATGGCGCCGGAGCTGCTGCAAGGCAGGTACGGGCCGGCAGCAGACGTGTGGAGCGCCGGCATCGTGCTCTATGTCATGCTCTCCGGGGCTCTTCCTTTCTTTGCCACCAAGAACCGCACGCTGGTTGAGGCGATAATGCACGGGCCGGCTCGCATGGAGGGGCCGCGGTGGGAAGGAGTGTCGGAGGGAGCGAAAGCGGTGGTGCGGAGGATGCTTGAGAAAGATCCAGAGGAGAGGGCAACGATACAACAGATTCATGGTGAGTGTTTGGTAACAAAGTAAAATACATTCAGTCTCTAGTTGCTCAGGTTTGCTAAACGATTTGATTTTACTTAAACCTTCAAGCGCTTGCTCATTGTGTGCCTGTGGAAAATGCAGAGTTTCCCTGGATGAAGAAGTACAACATTTGAAGGAGTATGGGCATCTGTACAGAAGAATTGTATGGGCTCTTTTATATATGATATATAGTATGATTTGAGTTGGATGAGTTTTGTTTCCGTGGTTCAAATTCAAGGAATTTCAGTTTGATTCCACGCCTTCGGTTTCTCGTTACTGTACTGTATACGACAAGATCTGGGGCCTTCCAACCAATCTGTTATTCGTGTCCATTCCACTAGTGAATCTGCCGTCAAACTTCAGGTACCTCGAGAACCTCAACCTGAAAGCAGCACTCCCTGACGAAAACTCCACGATTTCATAAGCATGGTAACCAGTTTCGTTATACCTGGGAGCTGGTTTCAGGTCCTGCAGGCGAAGCCATAGTGACTGTTCCCAAGGGCCAAACCAGCTTCATCAGGCTGTGAGGCGTGTGCAGGAAATGTGCACAAGCCAACAGACGGACCCACCTCCCCTTTCCCACCCACACCGCACCAGCATTCAGCACAACAATGAATGAACAGTTGAGCATTTAGGCAGGGGAGGGGAAGCAGAGACAGCAGATCGCGACGAGAGAGAGTTGGTTTTCAGAGTTGTGGTTCAAAGTGGTGGTTTGAAACGCCGCCCTAAAGAGCAGATCATCGTACTCAACCGCTTTGAATGAACAGAACCGCTCGTTTTTTTTCCTGAATATTTGACGTCCTTAGTTGCAAAGCCGCCTCGGGGAACTAACAGAACACGGAGTTCTAATCACAAGGACTTTTAGGTCGGCGCTTACCAGTCCAAGCGGTTAGCGACGTTCGTAGGAGGCGGAGAGCTGGAATGGACGGGAAAGGCTCTAGGCGAGACTGGTTTGGGTCTATTTTCCGCATTGACCTTGTTTCGAAATAGCATTCAACGATTTGGATGCGAGTGAAACGATTCGCGCTCCCTTGAATAACAAGATGGACGGGAGCCATTTAACTGCAGAGTATCAAAGTGACCGAGCCGCACCGCGGCTCGTATCACTAGGCCCAGCGGCGCGGGATGCGGCGCAGGATGAGTACGCCCTGGCGGACGATCATCGGTCGCAGGGCGACGTCGCAGAGTGGCCGTCGGCTCTCGACCAGCTGTCGCAGCCGAACTCGTTTCGCGCGGACGACTGGGACCTGGAGCAAGGCGACAGCCGAGATCCCGACGGCGAAATCGGCGAGGAAGCCGGTATTTGCGACAGCCGAATCGGCCGCGGCGCCAGCGGGAGAATGGGGCAGTCCGCCGGCGCGAGCAGGAGGGGGGAAGGCGGGGATAGCATGATACGCGGAGAGAGAGGCGGAGAGAGGGACGATGGGGGATATAGAGGCAGCGCTAGAAGCGGAAGGAGCGAGGGGGGGGCTTACGTAGTCGAGATGGACATGGGTAGGCAGGAGACTCTTTCGCATGGCCTCGCGGACATGCCGGATGGTAACCCGGTAACCATAGCGACTGCCAGAGGCTTGGCCGATGGCGATGCCGCCGCGAGAGGCGGTGAGAGTGAGAGCAGCGGCGACTCGTACCGTGACGCGGAGAGCTTCTCGTCTTCTGGCGAGTCTAGTCTTAACGAGTACGGGCAGGAGGGCGACGAAGACGAGAGTCTCAGCAGCCACGCAGGGGACGAGGAGGACGAAATCGGGGAAGCCTATAACGGGGCGAAGAGGAGCACGTGGCCGTTGGTGATTAGCATGCGGGAGTTGGGGTGGTGGCAGCAGGTCGTGCTGGTGCTGCTGGTGGCGGTGGGACTGACGGGAGTGTCAGCTGCCATGCTTTTCGCGGCCAAAGTGGGCGACCTGCTCTTTCTGCCGGCGCCTGTCTGGCCCCCTACGGGCCTCGCGCTCTTCGTTGTCCTCGTGAGCTCTCTCTCCCACTCCTTGGTACCACAGGGTGTTCTTCTCTTTGGATTTTGCTGTCGTCACGAGCGAGCGCTCCCTTCACTTGGTTCCTTCGACAGGGTGTTTCCGAGAATCCCTTAATAAGGGACGTTCTCCCTCACCTACAAATCATTCGGTCTAGCCAAATCTTGTGCTCCGTTGGCCTACCTCTGCCCTATCCCCAACCCCATCCCTCCCCCCAACAGGCACTGGGTTACCGCATGGCCGGCTCTTTTCCTCGCAGGCACGGCCCTCTCCCTCACCTACGAATCTGGGACGGTCTAGCCAAATCTTATGCTCCGTTGGCCTGCCTCTGCCCTATCCCCAACCCCTTCCCTCCCCCCAACAGGCACTGGGCTATCGCATCTGGCCGGCGCTCTTCCTCGCAGGCACAGCCCTCTCGCTCACCTACGGCGCACTCCACGTGACCCTGCCGCGCCTGCACCTCGTCCTCTACTCCCTCGTGATCGCCACAGACCGCACGCTCTTTGTGCTCCTCCTCGCCTTCTTCCTCATGCGCTTCCTCCGCCGCCAGCCCACCGACCTCACCCCACTCGACCGCGTGTCCAACACCTTCCGCCTCTTCTTCTTCTCCTTCCTCATCTCCTTCATCTTCGAGGGCATCGTGTCGATCGTTCTCTCTCTTATCGGAGCCGAGACGCCGGAAACCGCGGCCATTACTGGGTGCTTTCGGACGCTGGCGAGCTTTTCAGGGATTATTCTCACGATGCCGTTACTTATGCAAGTGTCGGTGTGGAAACCTTTTCCAGCAGCATCAGCATCAACAGCAGCAGCACAAGTCCAGCCCAATTCTCCTTCTCCACATTCCCCATCCCATCCGCCCTCCCTCTCCTTCCCTTCCACACAAATCTGGTCACGCTTCCTCTGCCACCTCCTCTCCACCCCCAAGAGCTGGGAATTCCTTGCTCTATTCCTCCTCAACACAGGCATCTCGCTCCTCATTTTCGCCCCAGGAGCCAGCCCGCTCATCGTCTCCCTCCCCTACATGCTCTTCCCGGGGGTCCTCTGGGCAGCGGTTAGGTTTAACCGCCACGGGTCGGGCCTCATACTGCTGCTGGTGGTGCTGATCGCGTGCTGCTGCACGGCGAGAGGGTGGGGCCCGCTGGTGAGGGAGAAGGCGAATGAGACGATTCTGCAGCTGCAGGTGTTTGTGGTGACGGTTGGAGTGGTGGGGGTGGTGGTGGCGGCGGCTGTGAGGGACACGAATCGGCTGAGGAAGGAGCTGCGGCGGCTGAATGCACGGTTGGAGGGGGAGGTGCAGCGGCGGACAGAGCAGATCAGGCAGTATAACGAGGTGGGCTGGGTTACACGTCTGTGTGTTGGGTGACCTGTGTAGTGACTGGAACGAGGTGGGACGGGTGACACCTGAGTAGCTCAAAGGTCACACACTTCCCGTCTGAATCCGCCATCGTCCCAGCATCATTGCTCTCCGCCATCCTTTTCATGCAAGTTCTGATTTTAAGCTGATGATTGGTTCAATCTGGCTCTCTAAGAAAACTCTCTAGCTCACAGTTAACCAGGCTCCTCCCTTCATTCATTCAATGGCGTTTGTTCCGTCGTATTAAGAACCATTCGGGTTGATGGAAAGAAGACCTCCGCAGCCCACCTTTCCGCTACTGACAGCGGTCACACACTTCCCGTCTGAATCCGCCATCCTGCCAGGCCAGCATTTTTGCTCTCTGCCATCCTTCTGTCCCTCCTCCCCTCCCTCCCCCCCTCCCACTGTCCGGTTACAGGATCTGAAGAAGTCAAAGGAGGAGTTGGAGGAGGCGGGGAGGGCCAAGACGGAGTTCCTGGCCAACATGAGCCATGAGATCCGGTAACGCCCTGCCTGCCCTTCTGCTGCGTAGAAAGTTAGATACACTGACACCCTACTGCCTGAGTGATTCTGAGTGATGTCTAGGTTCACGTCTTCCCCTGCATGCTGGAGGAGGCGGGGTGGGCCAAGACGGAGTTCCTGGCCAACATGAGCCACGAGATCCGGTAACGCCTGCCGTCATGCCATGCCACTGGCAAAGTTCCATGCCACCCATACCATTCATGCGGCCCCTTCACCCCATCTCATTCCTCTTCCATCCTCGCTCCTCTCTCCCCCCCCCACACCCCAACAGCACGCCCATCCACGGCTTCATCGGCATGACAGCCCTGGCCATGGGCACTCTCGAGTCCCTGCGAGCTGCTGCCCGTACCATCTTGCCCCTGTTCCTTCACCCTCGAGTCCCTCCGAGCCATTCCCCTACCGCCCATACCATCCGGGAGAAGGGGCGATGTCTGCCCATACCATCCGGACCCTTCCTTTTTCCTCACCTCCTCATTCCCCTCCCATGCCCCTCTCCCGCCCCTCCCCTTCTTCCCAACCTTCCACCCTATCCCCCCAGCACGCCCATCCACGGCATCATCGGCATGACAGCGCTCGCCATGGACACCCTCGAGTCCCTCCGAGCCATCCCACTGCCGCCCATCCCTCACCACTCCTCCTCCCACTCTGCCTCTGCCGCCGCCGCCGCTGCAGCAGCAGCGGCATTAGCGGAGCGGAGCGATCTAACGGTGGAGGTGCATGAGCATCTGACGGTGGTGGCTCAGTCGGCCGATTGTCTGCTGAACATCGCCAACACTGTGCTGGACCTTGCCAGGATAGAGGCCGGACAGCTGGCTCTGGATAAAGTCCCGTTCCGGCTGCGGGACGTGGTTGGTTCGACCATGAGAATGCTGCAGGTGAGTCCATTGCTTGGTGGTTTCAGAGGTGCTGGTGGTGCTCTGTCTCTGGCTGGCAGTGCTGCTAGTTTGGGTGGAGCGGAGCGATCTAACGGTGGAGGTGCATGAGCATCTGACGGTGGTGGCGCAGTCAGTGGACTGCCTGCTCAGCATCGCCAACACTGTTCTAGACCTTGCAAGAATAGAGGCGGGGCAGGCAGCTGGCGCTGGATACAGTGCTGTTCAGATTGAGGGATGTGGTGGGTGGGGTCGAGTCGACCATGCGCATGCTGCAGGTGAGTGGCTTCACGGGGATTCACAGGTGGTGGGTTCACAGGGATCTGCTGCTGAGCATCGCCAACACCTTGCTGGACCTTGCAAGAATAGAGGCGGGGCAGGCAGCTGGCGCTGGATACAGTGCTGTTCAGATTGAGGGATGTGGTGGGTGGGGTCGAGTCGACCATGCGCATGCTGCAGGTGAGTGGCTTCACGGGGATTCACAGGTGGTGGGTTCACAGGGATCTGCTGCTGAGCATCGCCAACACCTTGCTGGACCTTGCAAGAATAGAGGCGGGGCAGGCAGCTGGCGCTGGATGCAGTGCTGTTCAGATTGAGGGATGTGGTGGGTGGGGTCGAGTCGACCATGCGCATGCTGCAGGTGAGTGGCTTCACGGGGATTGCCTTGCCTGCTGAACATCGCCAACACCGTGCTGGACCTTGTGAGGATAGAGGCGGGGCAGCTGGCGCTGGATAAAGCGCCTTTCCGGCTGCAGGATGTGGGTGGGTTGGGTATACTATGCGCATGCTGCAAGTGAGTGCTGGCGGATCCACCACGCACATGATCCATCCGTATGGTGGTGCTGCTGGTAGTGCTGCAGGCAGTGCTGGTTTGGTAGCCGATGCTTGCTTGATACAGGGTTTCAATTCTTTTCCTTCCTCCCTGTTGTGGAAGCAAGAATGTCCTAGTGGGTACCTTTGGTCTTAGTGGTCGCGGGTTCAACTCTCATCGGCAGCACCTTCTCTTCTCATTATGCCGAACATGACACTCCTACACTCCACCACACTCACCCACAGTGAAGTGTGGTCACAGTTGGCATTGCCATCTGTCCACCCATCCCATACTCACCTTGTTGGCTCCTATGGTGTGCCACATGCTGCCATGTAGGCTGTTGTTCCAGCCTGGCCCACATGTGCAACATGTGGCCTCAATTGCTAGCTTGGCAAGGTTGGCTAGCCCTGCCCTCAGCTTTGAGGTGCTGCAGCTAGCCTCAAGAGTTCAGCCACATAAATGTGGCTTCCCACTTCTCTAGAACTCATCCTTGGAAAGGACATTGCTCTAGCCTTTCAGGCTTGTACCATCTTCCTACTAAGGATATATTGTTCTTCTCTCATTGGGCCTCAAGTTCACCGATCCTCATTCTACATGCTATCAGAGCAAGGCTTCTAGCTTAGTGAACGTTGCACACTTCATGGCTCAAGTTGAAACGCCTCTCGGTCGGCACACCCTTCCCATCTTGGAACCAGATGGTTCCAACTTCATTCCATGGAAGAAAAAGATCTGCTACATCTTCAATGTCCTCGGGCTGATCTCCCTCCTTGGAGATCCCAAGGTTGCTTCGCGTCCTTCAATCTCCTCTTCCACAACCAGCGGTGGAGAGACTACCGAAGGCAACAGCGGTGCAGCCCCTAAGACAGCCCATTCGATTGCTTCGCTGCCGGATGAAGAAAAAGAGGAGCATGCATACTATCTTCTCATGTCAGCCGTCCATCCTCAACTATCGCTCACTCTTGCTCAAGCCAACACGACAAAGGATATGTGGGGATGCATCATGGCGCGGTTCGACTGCATGGGCAACCATGCACAAGTGGCTCTCCTCCGGGATCTCATCACTACACGGATGGACCCAACAACAAGTCTTCGCTCCTACTTTGATCGAGTTGGAAACCTTACACACCAACTCAAATCTGCCGGCTTTGAGCTACCATCATGGGTGGTGGTAATCTCCATCATCCTCAACCTTCCGGACTCGTTCAAGACCCTTACTGAAACCATTTGCACCGTGAAAGACATAAAGTCTATGACGGTTGAATACCTACAGTCACGCCTACTCGATGCCGATTGGGAGCGGTCACAATCTGGTACAAGCCGTAACATGGAGGGTGCATACAACCTCAATTCCCAGCCCTCCCACCCTCTTCGCTCCGGTTCACGCCAGTCGCCCACCTGCCGTTACTGCAAGAAAACGGGTCACACCATCGATGAATGCTTCAAATTGAAGAAGAAGAAAGAGCTTGAAGAAAGCTCTAAACGGGAGAAATCCGTCTTCCAACCCTCGGTGCATGTCTCCACCAGCTCCTCTGCTGAAGCTACTCCGACCCCCACACCCCCTCCTGCCCCATCAACCCCTCAGTCCGTACCTGATTCCCGGTACGTGGACATTGCTGTCAGCACCAGCCACCACCCCATCTTCTCCACATGGACTCCTCTCGTCGCTGCTGTCTTCATTCTCACCATCCTCCTTCTCCTCCTCCTCTTCCCTTATGGGGCTCCCTACGCATCGGCATTCACGGCCTCCTCATTCAATATGGAGCGGACTTCGTCGTGGCTGGTGGACAGCGGCGCATCCTCCCATATCTGCTCGGATCGTTCGCTGTTTTCGTCTCTCAAGAAGTCCAACGAAGAGATCCTTGTTCGTTTTGGTGGAGGAGAGACTTACAAGGTCTTGGGAGTCGGCACGGTGGTGGCTACTCTTCGGTCACCAACATCGGAAACCACCATTCAGCTTGACAACGTTCTATTTCTCCCTTCATCAGTTCACAAGCTGCTCTCTGTTCGTGCGCTTGGTGCTGCCGGCGTTGCCGTCTCGTTCCCCGCTGCTGGGCGCGTTGTTCTCACATCTGATGACGTTCCTATTGGCGAGGGCTACACCCGCAACAATCTGTTTTATCTTCAACTGCATCATGGGAGCAGTGCTGCTCCTTCTATCAAGCCAACTGCATGTCCAGCCTCCACCACCACCTCCTCGTACCTCTGGCATCGTCGTTTCGGGCATCTCAACATGCAGGCCTTGTCAACACTTCATCGGCAGCAGCTGGTCACCGGTCTTCACCTCTCCTCCACCTCGATTCCCCCCTGCATCTCGTGCTATCGTGGGAAACAAACACGTCAGCCATTTGGCGTGTCCCATTCTCGCACCACAGCCCCACTCCAACTCATTCACTCAGATATTGCTGGACCGCTTTCATATGAAAGCGGTAGTAGTCTAGCAGATGCTTCTTAGGGGCACTCACACCCACTTCTTCCTCTCGTTCCGCCCTCTGTCTCCCCCCCCCCCCTCCTCCCTGGCAGGTGCGAGCAGAGCAGAAGCAGCTGGCGTTCTCATGGCATGTGGCGGAGAAGGTACCTCTGGATCTTATGGAAGCAGATGCGCGACACGGGCATTCAGACGGTCACACTCACTCCTTCCTTCCGTTCCTCCCCATGCCTCTCTCCCCTCTCTGCAGGTGCGCGCAGAGCAGAAGCAGCTGGGCTTTTCATGGCACGTGGCGGAGAAGGTGCCTCTGGAGCTCATGGGGGACCCAGGCCGGCTGCAGCAGTGCCTCATCAACCTGGGTAAGCAGGCTCATAACTCTCTCCCATCAGCTGCTGTTGGAATGCTGGCTGGATCAATTCTTGCTATCTCAACTCTCTCCCAAAGCGCCGCTCGAGCTCATGGGGGACCCAGGCTGGCTGCAGCAGTGCCTCATCAACCTGGATAAGGAACTTAATAAATGCTCTGCGTGTCAGTCGCGGACAGGTGGGCTGCAAAGGCCTTAGCCTTACTTCTATCAGCTCCCCTGTTGTTCTAGGACAACGAAACGAACCCCATGGGTTTGGTGAGAGAGGGGAGTTGAGATCTCCCTGCTCTTCCGCAGCAGCATATTTTTTTCTTGACAAACATCTCCATTTTCCCTCCCTCTCCCTCCCCTGCCCATCTCTGCCCACAGTGGGCAATGCAATCAAGTTCACAGAGACAGATTCGGTGACCCTCGAGATCTCCCTGCTCTTCCGCAGCAGCACCCGTGTCCTCACAAACGTCTCCATCTTCCCTCCATCCTCCTCCTCTCCCTTCCCCTGCTTATGCCATCCCTTCCCCTCCCCATCCCTCCCCCAGTGGGCAATTCGATCAAGTTCACAGAGACAGGGTCAGTGAGCCTCAAGATCTCCATGCTCTTCCGCAGCAACAGACACCACATATCCTCACGAACATTCCCAATTTCCCCTCCCTCTCTCTTCTTCCCCTCCCCATCCCTGCACCAAAAACAATGCAATCAAGTTCGCAGAGGCAGGGTCAGTGACCCTCAAAGTCTCACTGCTGGTCCACAGCAGCACCCATATCATCATTAGCATCCCCATATTCTAAAACCCTTCCCTCTTCCCCCACCCCTTCTTTGACCCCCAGTGGGCAATGCGATCAAGTTCACAGAGACAGGGTCAGTGACCCTCGAGATCTCACTCCTCTTCCGCAGCACCCGGCACCAGCAGCACTGCCAGAAGCAGGGGCAGCGGCGCAAGGACCGGCAGCAGCGCCACCACCGCCGCCACAAGTCATGTATCTCCAACCTTGAAGAGGAAGGGCCAGGGCAGGCGCAGGGGCAGGGGCAGGCGCAGGGGCAGCGGCAACAGCGTCACAGCCATCAGAAAAGGCAGCGTAAGGCTGTTCCCAGGTCTATGACTTGCCCTGCTACCCCCAGCACTCCCGCTGGTGCTGGTGGTGTGGGTTCTCTGGCTGCAGCTGCTGCTGCTGCTGCCGCCGCAGCAGATGCGTCACGCCGGCCCCAGTCAAGGGAAGGCGTTCTTTTGTCTGCTTCTGATAAGATTCCTGGAAGTTTCCTCGCGTTTCTGGGGAGGTCCTTCACCAGGAGGAGAGGAGACGGCAGGAGGGAGGAGAGGGAAGGGGAGAGGGAGGAGGAGAGGAGAGGGTGGGAGGGAGGAGAAGAGAGAGTAAGACCAGCATCGAGTGATGCGTATACTCGTCGTGGTGGAGGCGGTGCTGCTGCTGCTGCACTAGGCGATGGCTGTGGCGCAGCAGCAGCACAATCATCACAACTGTCACCATCGGGAGGAGGAGCAGCAGAGGCAGCAGCAGCAGGAGTAGCAGAGGCAGATGCTACCGCCCCCAGGCCCACCTGTCCAGACGCTAGCTCAGGCTGGCACTCCGACCCTCCCAGCCGCCCGACCTCCTCCCACCGGTCCACGCTCGGCAGGTCCGGTAGCCGCCGAGCCTCCCTCTTTGGTCCGGGTAAGAGAAGCCGACGTGGCAGCCAGGAGTTGGCTGAGCTGGGAGGTGGGGTAGGGATATACCAGTGTCTTGGTTACGAGGCTGGTGATTGGTCAGAACCCTGGGCAGGGGGAGAGGGACGCACAGATAGCGGGGAGGAAACAGGGGACTTGGGAGGGGTTTGGAGGAGTGGGAGGAGGCAGGAGAAGAGCTGGGGCCGGGGGTCGAGAAGAGGGGGAGAGGGAGGGGGGGTGTCGGCTAGAGGAAGAGGGAGTGAGGGAGTGGTGGAGTGTGGGAGTCTGTCAGATGGGGAGTCGTTTCCTAGAGAGAGGGGTAGAGGTAGGAGTATAGAGAGGGGTGTAGGGAGAGGTGGCGATGTGGACAGAGACGAGGAGAGGGATGAGGAGGACTTGCAGGTGCCTGTGTCTCGAACGCGCTCCAGTGAGACTCGCAGCAGGCGGGTTGACTTCTTAGATGTTGGGCTGGCAGGCAGCGGGAGAAGCAGCGGCAAGTGGAGCGAAGGGGGACTGAGCAGCCGCAGGGGAGGAGCTGGGTCGCGGGCCGGCAGTGGGTTCTTCTCGCGGGCAAGAGAAGAAAGAGAGAGGGAGAGGGATAGTGATCACGAGTTGGGGTCGCCACACCCACAGAGAGTCCTGGATTTTAGAGACCTAGGGGAGGCAGACGAAGCTCATGGCAAGCCGTCCTTTCTGGGTGCCATGCAAGCGTGCACACCCCCCATGCTCTCCCCCATGGCCCGCGCTCTCCCCCCACCGCAACCCACCCTCTCTCGCCAATCCATGCCGGCCCTCGCATCCGCTTCCGCACCTGTTTCCGCGCCTGGCTCCGAGCCTCGCTCCGTGCCCGAGCATGCGCTCGCCCCAGGCTCGGCTCCCGGACCTCTGGTGTCGCAACGGAGCAATGTGTCCCAAGCGAGTGATTATTCCTCTGTAGTGGAGTTAAGCCGAAACAGCAGTGCACGGTCCCATGCTAGAGGCCAGGGTTTCGGGTTTAGACCATCTGAGGCATCTCAAGCTCAGTCTTTGCTCTATACCGGGTATACTCCCCAAGGGAAGGCGTATGCTGGGAATTTTCCGGGTGTTCAGCCCTTGGTTTACACACCTGAAGGGACAGTGTTGGACCGGACCGAGAGTGACAACCTGGCAAGGGTGGTGGGTGCAGAGCAGTTGGAAGGGTTTGGGAGGAGTAGGAGTGTGCGGGTGCAAGAGGGGCGGGGGCAGGGAGGAGTGAGGCCGAGAGGTGGGGGGAGGTATTTTTACTCGCAGCAGCACCAGAGGCAGCCTAGGGAGGGCCGCGGGGGGGAAGGGGGAGGCGGGGGAGGGGTAGCAGGAGGGGGAGGAGCAGGAGGAACGGGGAGAGGGGAGGAGGGGGGGAGGGGGAAGCGTGGCGCCGGTATGAGTGTGGGAATGAGTATAAAGAACATGCTGTGGGGGCAGTCATCTAATGTGAGCACCCAGCGGCTTGATACTAGTGACGAGGAGGAGGAGAGGGAAGGAGAAGGGAGGCGAGGAGGAGGGAGGGAGAGGGAGGGAGAGGAGCAAGATGAGGAGGAGGAAGGGGAGGAGGGGAGTGAGGGAGGGGGGTCGGTGTGGCTGATGGTAGCTGTGAAGGACACGGGGATTGGGATCAGCCGGGAGAAGCAGGGAGATATTTTCCACAACTTTGTGCAGGCAGACACGTCAAGCACGAGAGTGTATGGCGGCATCGGGCTTGGTCTCAGCATCGTGCAGAGGTGAGAGCGGGGCAGAGGAGAGGGGACGGGAGAGGGATGAATCGGGGACACATCCTGCACGAGAGAGAGTGTATGGCGGCATCAGGCTGGGTCTCAGCATCGTGCAGAGGTGAGAGCGGGGCAAGGGAGAGAGGTATGTGTGGTGGGGAGTAGGCGACGAATGGGCACACACGTTCAGCACGTGGGTGTATGGCGGCATTGGGATGGGGCTTGGGCTTGTCATCGTGCAGAGGTGAGAGGGGGGGAGGGAACACCTTCAGGTTTAGGGTGCTTTTGAGTCGACTCAAAAGCAGGTGAGAGGGGGGGAGGGAACACCTTGAGGTTTAGGGTGGCTGGGGCTCCATCTTCTAAGGGTGGCTGGGGCTCCATCTTCTAAGGGTGGCTGGGGCTCCATCTTCTAAGGGTGGCTGGGGCTCCATCTTCTAAGGGTGGCTGGGGCTCCATCTTCTTAGGGTGGCTGGGGCTCCATCTTCTAAGGGTGGCTGGGGCTCCATCTTCTTAGGGTGGCTGGGGCTCCATCTTCTTAGGGTGGCTGGGGCTCCATCTTCTTAGGGTGGCTGGGGCTCCATCTTCTTCTTACTCACAGCTCCCCCTCGCTCTAACCCCCCGTCATCCCTATGTTACATTCCCTCCCTTCTCCCCGCCCCCCAGTCTGGTGTACATGATGGGGGGCGAGATCTGGGTGGAGAGTGAACCCAGGCGCGGCTCCGCTTTCTTCTTCACAGCTCGCCTCAATCCTCAATGACCATTCCTCTGCCCCTCTCTCCCCCCACATCCCAGTCTGGTGCACATGATGGGGGGCGAGATCTGGGTGGAGAGTGAACCCGGCCGTGGCTCCTCTTTCTTCTTCACGGCTCGCCTCAACCGCGCGCCCCCCGGCTCTGCACCCATCTTCGGCAGCGGCCTCACCGCTTCTCTCCTCCCCGACCCTGTCCCCGCCTCGCCCTCCCACCTCTCCTCCCCCACACGCTCCGTTTCCGCTGCTCCTCCTTCCGAGCATCACCACCAGCACCAGCACCAGCTGCAGCATCAGCTACAGCACCAGCACAGCCACCATCAGCAGCAGCTGGAGCAACAGTACCAGCAGCACGCACAGCAGCAGCAGATACATCAACAGGGTCCCGCTGATCTATCCGGCCCACGGCACCACCACGGGTATCCCTCAGATATGCATGCGGGTATGGCTAGCCTCCGCAGCAACCTACCACTGGACATCCCTGCCACCCCAGGCTCCAGCCACGGGGGCAGCGGCAGACGCCCCTCCTCCCGAGGCGGCCCTGGGGGAGGCTTATCCAGGGTGGGTAGCAGCTCGGGCAGGGCAGACCGGCTGCGAATGGGGAGTTCAGGAGGAGGAGGAACAGGGGGAACAGGAGCAGCGGGTGTGGTGGATTATTCTAGTCCGAGATCTCAGCTGATAGGGGCGCTGGGTATGGGTCTTCCCCTGGTGCTTCCAAGCCCTATGGCATACCCTGGTGGTCCTGGCACGCGCAGTGGGAGGTACTCTAACCTTGCTTCTCCTTCCCCCTCTGCCGCCCACAACGCCACTGCCGCACCGTTCAGCATGAAATATGCACCGCTCTCCACCCCTTCCCCCCGCTCTGCGGGCATCTGGAGGGATCTAGAACCTTCCCCTCTGTGGTCCAGACCCTTGAGTAGGGAGGGGCGGGCTAGGGCAACACGAATGGCGCCTGGAGGTTTTGGAGGGGGAGGAGGGCGAGGTAGCTGGCTGGGGCAGAGTGTGGGAGGGGATTCGGGGTCAGGGGGAGGGGATTCGGGGAGAACGGGTTCAAGGGGAGGGGATTCGGGTTCGAGAGGAGGAGATTCAGGGAGTAGGGGGTCAAGAGGAGGGGACTCGGTGGCAGGGGAGGTGGTAGAGGTGACCGTGTCTGGTGCTGCTGGTATGGCCACTGCTGCTGCCGTCTCTGCTGCCGTTGCAGCGGTCGATGCTGCTGCTAACGCTGCTGATAATGCTAGTAGAGCTTCTGAGGCTGCTGCTGTGGAGGGGGGAGGAGGAGCAGCAGCAGCAGCACAGTCCTCGGCACGAATACCACTAGTGGGAGCAGCAAGGCTGAGCGTGGGCGTCAGAGGAGGCACACTCAATGCCTCGAATTCCTATAACGACTCGTCCGGAGCGTCATCCCCCTCGGATGATGCATTTGACTTCAACATGTTTAACACGCAGATGCGCGCCAATGTCGCCCTGCCCTCCCCCTCAGCCACTGCTGCTGCTGCTGCTGGTGCTTCTGCTGGTGCTGGTGGTGCTGGTGGTGGTGCTGGTGGTGGTGCTGGTGGTGGTGCTGGTGGTGGTGCGGCAGGTGGTGTGTCACGGTACTACCACTCCATGCCCATCTCCCCCACGCCCATCCGCTCCCACTCTGCCTCTGCTGTGCCTCGAGCGGTAGCAGTGGCACCATTAACAGCAGTAGCGTCAGTGGCAGCAGCAGCAGCAGCAGCAGGGGCACCAGTGCCGCGTGCACTGGTATCAGCGTCAGCAGGAGCTTCACCAGCTGCAGCAAGCTCAGCAGCAGCAGGAACAACGGTGTCAGCCGTGGCTGCAGCAGTGCCCCCGCGATCACAGTCACACCATGCCCCCTCCGCGTCCACCATCCCTGGCATCGCAGGCGTCACAGGGATCAGCCTGCTGGATGACTGGGGGTTCATGGCCCCTCCGCCCGTTTCCCACAGCATGCCCACCCTCTTCCCCCTGCCTGCCTCTGCCTCTGCGTCTGCTTCTGCCTCTGCTGCTGCTTCTGGTGCTGCCGTCCCATCAACGTGGGTCCCCTTTGGTGCTGCTGGTAACTCGCAGCCGCACCTACTGCAGCAGCACTTGATGCAGCCGCAGCAGCAGCAGGTGGGGGGGCAGGTTGGGTCCCGCCACAGGGCCAGCAACAGCTGGTGTCCGGAACTAGGAGCTTCCGCTGCTGCTGCTCTTGCACCCACCGCTGCTGCTCCCAACTGTCCTCCTATCAGTGGCGTTCACGGGGTGGGCGGCAGTGCAATCGGCGCTGCTGCTGGTGCTGGTGGTGCTGCTGCTGCCGCTGCTGGTGGTATCGGAGGTGCGATGGGCAGTGGGGCGGTATCAGATCCGTCGCTCTATTCCCAGTTGGTGTCAGGCAATTTCGATCTTCTCACAGGAGGCTATTCCCCTCCTCCCAACAACGAATCCTTTTCTTCCTTCCTCACCACCTTCGCCTCTGGCCCTGACCCTCCACGCTGTACTGGTGCACCTAGTATGTCTGCCGCACTGCCAGTCGCGCCAGCAGCACCAGCTGTAGCGCCAGTTCCTTCTGCTGATGTAGCACCTGTTGCTGTAGCGCCTGCTGCTGCTGGTGGTGCTGCTTCCCCACCTGCCGCTGCAGCCTCAACATCGGCCTACGTTGGTGCAGAGGCCAACTCAGCCCCTGCTGCTGGTGGTAACCTGGGCTGCAGCGGGAGGGGCAGTGGGGTCGGCGGTGGGGGAAGCAATGGGATGAGCACTGGGAATGGTGGTGCTAGCCGCAGTGCAGCGAAGGCTGGTGGAGAGAGACAGACAAGAATCAACAGCAGCACCTACAGCAGCAGCAGTGGCAGCGGTGGTGGTGGTGGTGCTGCTGCTGTTGCTGGTGGGGGTGCTGCGGTTGCTGCCACCACCAATAATAATAACAACAACAACGGCAACTCCGACAGCAACAAAACTGTCAGTACTGCCACCACCAACACTATTTCTACTACCACCACCATCAACAACAGCAACAGTAACACTAACAGTACCCCCACCACAACCACCACCAGCACTGCCACTGCCTATGTTCCCAGCCTGGCATCTCAGCTGCGGCCAGTCACACCAGGCCACGTGGACCCCCCTCCCCCTCTCGTCGCCGGCCAATCACGGCTGCATTCGTCAGTCACAGCCGGCCGGCTGCACAGCGCGCGAAGCGAAGAGCAAGGGAGGCTTGCGTTCGAGGCCTCCCAGGTTTGCGGCTTGAGGGGCGAGGGGCAAGGTCGCAGCAGTATTGACTTTTCGGCATGGCAAGTGGTGAAGAGCGAGGGAGGGCAGGTTGAACGAACGCTGGACCGCTTTCGGCACAGGCAGCAGCAGCAGCAGCAGTATCAGCGTCATAACTATCAGCAGAAGCTAACACAAGAGGCACAACCCACCCCGCAGCAGCAGCAGGAGAAGCAGCAACGGCTGCTGCAGCAGCTGGAGCTGCGAAGTCAAGTCTCAGCGCAGTTCTACCAGCCACCCCCGCCACACCTGCACCCGCTCTGGCCGCTCCCCTCCCGCCGCCTCGAGCACCGAAGCTCTGACCCAGGCTTGGTGGCGAGGCACCTGGCAGCTCTGGAGTCTGCCGTGGGTAGCTCTTGGCCCGGGAAAGAGGCTGGGGAAGGGAAGCAAGCTGCAAAGCCTGTAAGTTGTGTGCTGATGTGGCTGATGTGGCTGATGTGGCTGATGTGGCTGATGTGTGTTTATGCACTGTCCCCAACTCCTCGTGCCTCCCCAACCCCTCTGCTGCATCTTCTCTCACGCTCCTCACTACCATGCTCCCCCTCCTCATCTGCCCCCCAGTTGCAGGGTGTTTTCTGCCCCCCAGTTGCAGGGTGTTTTCTGCCCCCCAGTTGCAGGGTGTTTTCTGCCCCCCAGTTGCAGGGTGTTTTCTGCCCCCCAGTTGCAAGGTGTTTTCTGCCCCCCAGTTGCAGGGTGTTTTCTGCCCCCCCAGTTGCAGGGTGTTTTCTGCCCCCCAGTTGCAGGGTGTTTTTGAGAATTCTCAAACCACCCTGCAGCCTCACGCTCCTCACTACCATGCTCCCCCTCCTCATCTGCTTTTGAGTCGACTCAAAAGCTGCTCTCACGCTCCTCACTACCATGCTCCCCCTCCTCATCTGCTTTTGAGTCGACTCAAAAGCTGCTCACACGCTCCTCACTACCATGCTCCCCCTCCTCATCTGCTTTTGAGTCGACTCAAAAGCTGCTCTCACGCTCCTCACTACCATGCTCCCCCTCCTCATCTGCTTTTGAGTCGACTCAAAAGCTGCTCTCACGCTCCTCACTACCGTGCTCCCCCTCCTCATCTGCTTTTGAGTCGACTCAAAAGCTGCTCTCACGCTCCTCACTACCATGCTCCCCCTCCTCATATGCTTTTGAGTCGACTCAAAAGCTGCTCTCACGCTCCTCACTACCATGCTCCCCCTCCTCATCTGCTTTTGAGTCGACTTAAAAGCTGCTCTCACGCTCCTCACTACCATGCTCCCCCTCCTCATATGCTTTTTGAGTCGACTCAAAAGCTGCTCTCACGCTCCTCACTACCATGCCCCCCCTCCTCATCTGCTTTTGAGTCGACTCAAAAGCTGCTCTCACGCTCCTCAATACCATGCCCCCCCTCCTCATCTGCTTTTGAGTCGACTCAAAAGCTGCTCTCACGCTCCTCACTACCATGCTCCCCCTCCTCATCTGCTTTTGAGTCGACTCAAAAGCTGCTCTCACGCTCCTCACTACCATGCTCCCCCTCCTCATCTGCTTTTGAGTCGACTCAAAAGCTGCTCTCACGCTCCTCACTACCATGCTCCCCCTCCTCATCTGCTTTTGAGTCGACTCAAAAGCTGCTCTCACGCTCCTCAATACCATGCTCCCCCTCCTCATCTGCTTTTGAGTCGACTCAAAAGCTGCTCTCACGCTCCTCACTACCATGCTCCCCCTCCTCATCTGCTTTTGAGTCGACTCAAAAGCTGCTCTCACGCTCCTCACTAGGGATGAGCAAAGGGCGAACTCGAACACGTTTGGGTTCGAGTTCGCTCGAACATCAACATTTCCCGAACCGAACACGGTTCGGTCCGGCGAACAATTTAGGGTTCAGGAGGTGTTCGCCGTTCGCCCATGGGGGCGAACATTTGGTATGTGTGGGCGAACTCGAACATGTTCGAACCGAACATGTTCGAGTTCGCCCGTGGGCACTTTCGTTTTAGTCACATTGGTCAAACAGGGAATCTGGAGGGTTGGGAAGATAGATAGGGGGGTGGAGGGTGTATATGTGTTCATGCAACGCACACTAGCATACGACACCATCATGTTTTGCCTATATAAAAGTCACTGTCAAATTAAATCCTACGCCTGCACACCACTGCTACTACCAACAACAGCATGCTCCGCGTCAGAGGTGTCGCCAGCACCCACCCCCTCCTGCTCCTCCTCCCATTCCCCCTCCTCCCACTCGTCGTCCTCCTCCTCCCCCTCGCCTTCAATGGCGAACTCTGGTGGTGCCTCGCCTTTTGCACGGCGGCCCTCGCCTATCCTCTGTCCAGGGTGTGAGGTGTACCATGATCTGAGAATCATGGAAGCTCGCGTCCTCTGAGAGGCTAGGCGGTGCCGCTTCCAGGATAGGAGGTTGCGGCCGAGGGAGAACATGCGCTCGCTCGACGCGGACGTGGCAGGGATGGCAAGATAATCCCGGGCCATGCGCCTCAGCGTCTGCATGTTGGTGGCGCTGCGCCAATACTCCAACGCTGACACGTCGCACCGCACCCTCTCAGATAAGGGTACATTCCGCTGTGGACACACGTCCCAATCGATGTGTCCCAATCGTTTCTACCGCACTGCATCGTATTACACCGAATTGCACCCTAGTTTCGAAATTTTCGCGTCTCTGGTTTAGTTCGGTTCGAAGCGGTACACTCGATTGGGACACATCAATTGGGACATGTGTCCACAGCGGAATGTACCCTAAGTACCTGCCAACCTCGTCATCCTGCACCATCCCACCCCTCCCCGCCTCTTGGCTCGCCGAAAGACGCGCCGCAAGGCGTCGGCGACTAGGGAGAAACTCGGCGTCTTCGTCGTCATCCGCCGCGTCTCCCTCCTCCTCCTCCGTCACTGGGGCAAGTGGGGTCGGCCGAGGGGCAATCGCTGCAGCCCGGGCCTGGTACTCGGCCACGCATTCGCGGACCAGCTGGATCACCTCGCCTGACGAGGGACGAGGCCTCGCCCTCCGGTCGGTATCGGGATGCACCGTCTCCCAGTGCGCGTCGTCGAACCACGCCGCCTTCATGGAAGGGTCCAGGAAGGTGGCGATCCACAACTCGTTGCTTGACATCAGTTCATACTTCTTCAAGAGACCCAGCGCCGCCTCAATCATCGGCTTCAGCGAAGCCGATGGCCCCTTGGCAAGGCGCGACTCCATAGCGTCGATCAGGCCGTTGTAGTACGGCAGGACCATCGCCACTGTAGGGTACGCCGCTCCCTCCGCGGCCTTGGAGACTTTGGCGAATGGGCTGAGGAAGGTCTTGACAGAATGCAGAGTCTCCTAGTCTGCGTCCGTAAGGCGCAAGGTGTCCATCTTCGCCTTGTCAGCCTTCGACACGCCCTGTCGGGTAGAACGTATGGGTGGGCGGGTGTTAGGGTGGAAAGTGGGGTGGTTGAGGTTGTTGGAGGTCCGATAAGTTTAGTCAAGCATGGCCAACAGTGGTGCAAGTCCCAGAAGAAAACACCCCGACCGACATACCAACACATAAAACCGCATACACAACACCTGGCACACACACACACACCTGTGTCTGGGCAAAGAAGACAGAGATGGGTTCCTGCAGAACCCCAGCTCGCTCGACCATGTCGTGGGTCGACCCCCAGCGTGTGGGACTGTCCTGCACCAGCTTCAATGCCGGCTTCGGTCTGGCGGGGTTGCCCTGCGCGTTCAGGGTCCGCTGAAGGCCCAAGAACTTCCCTGAGCGCTGCGGCGAGAAGCCTATCCACGACGCCATCTCTCTCAGAATCTTCAACAACTTGCGGATGGCGGTCACAGCGAGTGCTGCCTTCACTGCAAGGTTGATCACGTGTGCCAGGCATCTGCGCACATCACAAAACATTAATGGCGGAGAGAAAGGGAAGTGTGAGTACACATTGGCATAGATCCGCGAAACACTACCACTCTCAAGCCGCATAGGCCCACCCGCCTGTACCACAACCTCAACATGTTCACATCACAGGAACGACGCACCCAGACTCCCTCATCGCACATCCCACGCACACTCCCTTTCGTACCGGAAGTGCATGCGCGAGTTGAAGAAGCACTGGCCACCACCCTCCTCCGACATCCACCTGAAAGCGGCAGTGTTGCTGGAGGCGTTGTCTGAGGTGAACCCAAGACAACGCGTCTCCAACCCCCACTGCACCACAGTCTCCTCAACCACCCTCGCCATCTGCTTGCCCGTGTGACGCCCGTGAATCTCGCGGAATTCAAACACCATTGTGCGCAGCTGGTAATTCTCGTCGATCCAGTGACCCGTTACCACTAGCCACGCCCTGTTGTTGGGCGACGTCCACATGTCGATGGTGAACGACACCCTGCACCCCAGATCCCCCTCCTTCGCCAGCATCTCCGCAATGGCTGACTGAAGAGCGGCAGCCGCATAGACCACTGTATCGCGGGAAACCGTCCAGCGCGAGGGGATGAAGTTCTTCTGCGCGCAGTTGCGGTTTAGCAGGATGAGTAGCTCATGAAACTGGAGAGGAGTAGAGACAAGGGGGGAGAGGGGAGTAAACGTCAGGGGGATGGGATGAAAATAATATAGCACTGCACTGGGCCACACGCAAACATTCAAAACACAAAGGGACAGACCCGTCCACTAACCACATACTTGCCCAATCATGCATGGGATGGGATGGGGCACTTACAGCCTCGGCCTCGACGATGCGGAAGGGGAGGTCGCAGGTGACCATCAGCTTCGTGATCGCCTGCCGTAGCTGCACCGAGGTCAGTTTGGTTGTCATCCACCGCTCCATCCCGCTTGACCCATGACCTCCACCAGTCGCCATCCCTTTCCCCTTGGCGAGCTGCGGCCAAGTCTTGGCATGTGGCCACTGATAGACGAAGCCATCCGGCACTCCCTTGTAGCCCCCACGTGGAAACGTCTCCCCTGGCAAGTGAACGGACGGGGTGTGGTAACGGTGATGCCACACATGCATGTGCGCAGTGTGGAAGCTCGCAAAGTGCCGCTCGCCGGGGGTTGTTGTGGATTGCTTCCACGAAATCCTGTCATAGCAAATCTTGCACTGACGCTTATCGTCTGCCCCTAACGGTCCGAACATCATTACTTGCCACCCCGGCTTCCTATTACCCTTGCCAGTCCCCTTACTACTCTCGGACTCTCTGTCCTCGTCTAGGAACTCGGGAGCGATCACACCCTCGCCCAAGGGCTCCCCAGTGAACGTTCAGGGAAACGCCCGCTCCCTCAACTTGTTGGCCTTCTTCCTCTGCCTCGGCTCCCTAATGGTCACGGCCTTTCTCCCCCCACCTTAACCCCCACGCTCCCTCCCCCTTCACGCACATGCTGTGATCCCGCCTCTGTCGCCGCCCTTCCACCACCCTCTCCCACCTCCTCCTCCCGCCCCTCTGGCTCCAACCCATCCATCTCGTGGTCTTCATCATCATCATCTCCCCCCTCCCCATCGCCATGCGTCTCTGGGTCCCACGCCGCCTCGCTGTCATCCCCGCTCCCCTCAGTGTCCTCCTCCTTCTCGCCCTCACCATCCTCCTCCTCATCCTCCTCCTCGCTGCCGCTCTCCCGGCTGCGTCGGCGTCTGCCCCGAAGGAGGGGGTCGAGGGCCGACGTAACGGAAAGAGCGACGAGAGGTCGGCGCCGGTACGGTAAGCAACCCCCCAACGAAGATCGCGCCGGCTCCTCCCGGTCCATCCCCTACTCGCCCCTGCATAGGTCGTGGTGGAGATCCCGGTGCGTTGCCCTGAGCCCTGCCTGCACCTCGGCCTATGGATCCACCAGCCCTGGAAGCCATAACTCCGCCCTCGACCCTAAACCCTAAAACACCCTTCCTGCAACGGTAGCGTTGGATGGTTCCGCACGTTCCTAATGCCCGATCCGAATCCTACGGCGTAGGATACGCCCTACTTGAGCCCTTTGCGGAGATGCTCGCTGAACCTCAATTGGAACCCTAAACTCCCTACACTACGTTAAACCCTATGCATAGATCTATCTATCTAATGTCCGTTTACACTGCAAGTATCAGCGTGCACTTGCTTGCACCTAGAACAAGGAGGCTAGGGCGGCTGTGTGAGGGAGCGCTAAGGCGAAAACGACTTCTGAGTTTGAGCTCACGAAATGAGCTCAAACACAAATTGGCCGCGACCTAAATCTGGTCGCGGCCAATTTTGACGCGAACATTTTTGGTGTTCGCGTGGCCCCCAAGTCGAACACGAACATGTTCGTGTTCGGCTTGGAGAGCCAAAATTCGGAGGCGAACGTCGAACATGTTCGGCCGAACACCGAACATGTTCGGCCCGAACAATTTAGGCAAAAAAAAATGCCTGTTCGGTTCGCCTCGAACATGTTCGAGGCGAACCGAACAGGCGTTCGGGATTTTGCTCATCCCTACTCCTCACTACCATGCTCCCCCTCCTCATCTGCTTTTGAGTCGACTCAAAAGCTGCTCTCACGCTCCTCAATACCATGCTCCCCCTCCTCATCTGCTTTTGAGTCGACTCAAAAGCTGCTCTCACGCTCCTCGCTACCATGCTCCCCCTCCTCATCTGCTTTTGAGTCGACTCAAAAGCTGCTCTCACGCTCCTCACTACCATGCTCCCCCTCCTCATCTGCTTTTGAGTCGACTCAAAAGCTGCTCTCACGCTCCTCACTACCATGCTCCCCCTCCTCATATGCCCCCCAGTTCCCCTCCACTGCTCCTCCCCATACACATACTTGAATCGACACTGTGTCTGCTGCCAACAGCCTGCCAACAACGACCTACCTACAAACGCCAGCCCCCACTCCTCTCAGCCACCTCCCCCTAATCCCTCTTGTTCCCTCCACCACAGGCACGCCAGTCCTCTTCCTCTGCTGCCCTCAACCTGCCCCACAAGCTCAAGTGCCCTCTCCTCACAGCCAAATTTGCCTCCTGCTCCCCCTCCCTCTGCCCCTTCCTCTTCCCCACCTTTCTTCCCTTCTCCCTCCCAACACAGGCACTCCAATCCTCTGTCTCTGCTGCCCTCTCAACCCGCCCCACAAGCGCCAACGCGCTCTCCTCACAGCCACCTCCTTGCTCCCTTTTGTCTTCTCCCCACCCCTCCTCCCTCTCTCTTCTCTCCCACCCTTTCCCCACACACAGGCACTCCAATCCTCTGTCTCTGCTGCCCTCAACCCGCCCCACAAGCGTCAGCGCCCTCTCCTCACGGCCACCTCGCTACCCCACCCTGCCTCCCACACCTCTCGCTCCTTCACCTCTGCGGCTGCGGCTGCTGCAGCTGCAGCTGCTGCTGGCGGCGGTGCTGCGTCAGGTGGATTCTCAGGTGCTGGTTCAGGTGGGAAGCTAGCCCTAACAGGGTCCGGTGCTAGTGCAGGTGTCAGTGTTGCCACTAGCGCTGGTGCTAATGTTGCAGCTAGTGCCACATCGGCCATGGGGAGAGATCCAGCTGCTGCAGTGCCCGGGGTAAAGAAGCGGCATCTGCAGCAACAGCAGCCACAGTTTCACTTTCTCTCGTCCCACCCTCCCTCCTCCACCACCGTCCCCTCTGCTGCCTCCAACCCTCATTTCTTCTTCAGCAGCAAGAGCCTACGCACCTCGCCCTCCCACTCCTACACCTCTGCTGCTGTTCCCTCCCTCTCCTCTGGCCTTCCCCCCCACCCACAGTCTGCTCTTATCCGCACACGCTCTGACCCATCCCAACTCCTCGGTATCCCCAGAAAGGTTCGGGATAGGAGCCCGGTCCGGCCCGAACCTGCGATTCCGCCCGGACCTGAATCTGTAGGTCCCGGGCCTGCACCAGGCTCGGAGACGGGTCGAGTAGCCGGTAGCCATATGTCTGGTTCAGGCGCAGGTTTCCAGACAGGCTCGGAGAGCAGGCCCGGGCTGAGCTACGGGAGCAGGTCTGCCTCGGTGTTGGTTCCAGGTCCGGTGCTGGGCGCATGAGCTTCGGTAGCCGGTCGGCTTCTGGTGCGGTACTTTCCAGGAAGCTGAGCCGGGTGAGAGAAGGGGAGCGGGAGGGGGGAAGGGTCACAGAGGGAGAGGGAGGGGGACGGAATTTTGGAGGAGAGGGAGGAAGGAGAAGAGGCAGGGGAAAGGGAAGGGGGAGCGATTTTGGAAGGAACGGAGGAAGGGGAAGGGGAAAGGGAAGTGGGTGGGCATGGGGTGGATATGGAAAGGAGGGAGGCGAAGGAAGGAGGCAGGGCGTGATGCTGTGGCGAGAGCACTGACGCAGCTTGGGCAGCAACAGGGGCAGCAGCAGGGACAGCAGCAGGGGCAGCAGCAACAGCAGGGCAGCAGCAGCAGCAGCAGCAGCAGCAGCAGCAGCAGCAGGGGGCAGCAGCAGCAGCAGCAGCAGCAGCAGGGGCAGCAGGGGCAGGAGAAGCAGCAAGAGGAGCAGCAGGCATCAGAGGCAGATTCCAGTCCATGGAACATCCCACTCTCGCCGATGGATCCCAACTACACACCCCATCTGTTCCCCTCTCTCCCACCCGCCCTCCTCTCCCCACCCTCCACCCCACCACACTCTACCCCGACCGGCCCTCCCATCGCCTCTTGCACTGCCCCTTGTCTCCCTGACCTGCCTCTCCTCCCCTCCCTTTGCCTCTGGTGCTTCGGAACCCGCACATTCTGAGTCCGCTTTCTGGCTCTGGCTCTGCAACACACCCTGCCTCCAGCTTCTATGTCTGCTGCTGCTGCTGCTTCTGGCAGCGCTGCTGCTGCTTCAGCTGATGCTGGCACCACTGCTGTTGCCACAGCTGCTACAGCCGCAGCTGCATCTAACAGAATGGAAGTGGAGGATGGGTCAGGGCCCCTATCAGGCTCCCTATCATCAGGCCCCTTATCGGGGTCCATGGAAGAGGGCATATCGGCAGGACAAGGGAGGAAAAAGCGGGTGGGAGGAGCAGGAGGATCAGCGGCAGCACCAGCAGCAGCAGCGGCGGCAGCGGGACGGCGAGTTTCAGTAACCCCTGGGTGGGCTCCTCTCGTGCCCTCGAACCATCATACACTCTCTCCTCATGCACTGTTGACTCTCATCTCTCCTCTCGTACCTTTGCCTCAGGCTCTGACCCTTGGACCCCCACCACTGCCGATGGCTCTACCTCTTTCTTTCACTCGTTTGCTATCCTCCACCCCACCACTCCCACTCACTCCTGCTGATGGCCCACCCCCACCACCACCGGGCCAACACCGTTGAGGGGGTCACTCCTACACCGCCACCGCAGCAACGCTTTCACGCTTTAACCGCGCTCAAAGTCCCCCACCACCCCGCCTGCGTTCTGAGAAGGATCCATCCCCTGCTGCCGTGCTACCAAGCACTGCCAGCAGCGCGTATGAGGAGGGGCAAGGAGGCAAGGGCAAGGGCATCGCAGCAGCGGCAGCTTCAGCAGCAGCAGAAGCAGCTTTGAGGCGCCTCAGAAAAGCTCTATGAGCGCTGCCGCTGTGAGTGGAAATCCTGGGGGCAGTAAGAGCAGCAGGAGCAGCCTTGACGAGCCTCGGACAGGCTCTGTGAGCGGTGCTGTGATGGTGCGGAATGCGGGCGGCAGTAGGAGCAGCAGGAGCAGCCGCAGCAGCTCAAACCTGTCTCCGACTGGGCTTGGGCAGGGCAGTTGGGATGGCAGTGCTGCTGACTTGCTGGCTCTGGTGGCGATGATAGGCGCAGCTTAGCAGCAGGAGGGAGGGGAGAGGCAGCAATCAAGAAGCATCACCACCACCATCGCCACCATCACCATCACCATCACAATCACCATAACGAGGGACAGCATGAGCAGCAGCAGCCGCAGCCGCCGCCGCCGCAGCAGGCAGTGAGCAGCACTGGCGCAGGAGCAGTGGCAGTGGACCAGCAGGAGCAGCAGCCAGCAGGAGCAGTAGCAGCGCGGAACTAAGAGCGGGCCTCTAGTGGCCTGCTGGCAGGGGTGCGCATATTGCTAGCAGAGGACAACCTGGTGAACCAGCGTGTGGCCACACACGCCCTCTCCAAGCAGGGCGCTCGCGTCGAGGTGGTGGGCAACGGGCAGCTCGCTCTCACCGCCATGGAGGAGCGGGCGGCGTCGTTCGACCTCATTCTCATGGACATTCAGGTGTGTTTTGTTTGTCGGCATAGTTTTCGCTATCGTCGGCAGCAGTGGAGTTATTGACTTCGCCACCCTGCCGCCACCACCACCATCATTGTCCCTGTCTCGATGCCCACCATCATTCCTGGTCCACCCGCCGCCACCACCAGCAGTGGAGTTATCGACTTGGCCACCCCTGCCGCCACCCCTGCCGCCCCCCTGCGGTCACCCCTGCCGCCACCCGCCGCCACCGCCGCCACCACCATCCTTGTCCATGTCTCCATGTCCACCACCATTCCCAGTCCTCAGATCAGATGCCCGGAATATATAGACTGGAAGCCTGAAATGTCTCAAAGCACACTTTACACCCCCAACCTTCCCCCCTCTTCATTTCTGTCCAAACCCAAATCCATTTGCCGGTCATTGATGGGATGGAGATTACTTGTCGCATTCTTGATCCGATAAATGATATTAATCGATCTAAAAAACAATCCTTTCCTCCTCCTTACCAACTTGCATTTCCTTTCAGATGCCGGTGATGGATGCTGGAGGCCACTCGCCGCATGCTTGAGTCAATGAATAATAGTAGTCGATCTAAAAAACAATCCTTCCTCTTCCTTTACCAACTTGCATTTCCTTTCAGATGCCGGTGATGGATGGGCTGGAGGCCACTCGCCGCATCCGCCAGCTGGAAACTTCCAGGAGGCGACTCTCGGGCAGCAAAGCAGCACGGCAGCACCACAAGGGGCAGCAGCACGGGCAGAAGGACGGGAAAGAAGGGGGAGGGTCAGGGGAGAGGGAGGAGGGGCGGGAGGAGGGGGAGGGGGAGAGGGAAGAAGGATAGGCATAGTGGGGTTGACGGCACACGCAATGGCTGGGTACAAGGAGCAGTGCTTTGAAGCGGGTATGGATGGGTATGCTACAAACCCTTCAAAATCGAGATGCTGGT